TGTGGGAGACCCGAGTCTCCGGTGTTTATGGCAGCTACTAAATCTGTACTATGGGAAAAAAAAGGGCACGGAAGCAGGGAAACGGGAGCAGGGAAACGGACGGGGGGAGGGTCGGTAGATAGATAGGTGTTACGAGGCGGGGTCTGGATATTTCAGATAGCTGGTAGATATAATACTGGGGGGTGGCCTGCTGAGGCCCGATAGACCACCGGGATAGAGTGTTGGGACGGGAAAAAATGGGGGTACTATCGGGGACAGCAGGGGAACAAAGACGGGGGGACTGGCGGCTGTTGCCTGGCGGGAAGACCAGGTTTCTTGAATTCGTATTTTATGTTTTTAAAAATTCTTGAAAGCGGACAGCTACTGGACTCGGGGCAGGGGTACCAAGTGGGTGGGACCAGGGTACTTAAGACAGGCAGCAAGGCATTCGCTGTCTGAGAGCTACAGAATCTACAATTCCACCTCCTGACGAGTCCGCACGTAGGCGGACGAAACGCGTCGAGGGCGCTACGAAGCTCAGGGAGGAGATGGTGGTGATGACATGGTTATGGCGAGGTTAGAGCAAGGGGAACGGGAAGGAAGGAGGGAGACTGAGAACCGTGTATGTCCCGATGGAAATCTTGGTAATGTTCTCAAAGGGGGAGGGAAAAAACAGGGATTTTTGCTTCTGATGTCGCCGTAAGCATGCATGCTGCATGGACTGTTATGCCGCAGTCTACCTTCACTCGGAGGCGCATGGTAACCGGGAGTGTTTTAAGCTTCATGGTGGCTATGTCTGCAAGGCGGTGATCGTTTGTAGTAGTGAGGTGGGAAGGGATAGTTGCGCGAGGATTGCATGACGGTACCTCGCTTAGTTTAGAGGTCACGGTTGAGCTAGGAACAGATAGAGATCGAAATGTACGGCGGAGGGATGAATCAGCAGGGAGGGACGGGCCGATACGGGAGTCCAGTAGAAACGAAAACAACGGGTATGGAGGAAATAACTGGGGTGGCTACAGGGGGAACGGCGGCAACAGTGGGAACGGAGGGAACTATGGGGGAAGACAGTCGATCGTATGCTATACATGCGGGAAAACAGGACACTACTCACGTGACTGCTGGACTAAGAGGGGTAAGGACGATGATAACGAGATGGAGGAGATGCGTCAGCATTATAGGCAGGTGATACAGGAGAAACGGGAGGCAGAGGAACGAAGAAGAGAGGAGGAACAGAGGAGGATACAAGAGGAGAATGAGAAGAGGTGAGAACACGACTTGATTCGGAGGACCGAAGAAATGAGGTTGCAGCTCAAAGCGGGGCTTGAGGAGAAGTGGAGAAAACAGACTAAACAGGCGGAAGAAGTGGCTGCAGCGGCAAAAGCAAAAGCCGAAGAAGCGAAAGCGAAAGCGGACGAAGCTAAGGCGAAGGCAGAGGAAGCGAGCGCGAGAGTGGAAGAGCAGCGGATGAGGAGCGCTACGGGAAATTGCACGCCTTTTCGGTTGACGAAGAGGAGAATAAGGGGGGTAGCACTGGAGTCGGGATCGGAGGAGGACAAGGCTCAAGGTGGAGGCGATGGGATAAGGGTCAGAAGCGTGGTAAAGCCTACCACTAACGATCGCACAACTAAGAAAAGAACGCGTGTGATCTTTTCATCGTCGGAATCTGAGGAGGAGACTGTATACGAGATAGAGAGTGAAACGACGGACTCGGAGAATGAACTGCGTAGAGCGATCGAATTGCTGAGGAAGAAGAAGAAGAAGAAGAAGAAGAAGAAGAAGAAGAAGAAGGCAAGTACGGTTAAGAGGAGACTCGTGAAGGGTAAGAAAGAAGTATCACCAGTGAGGAACTGCACGACTACTGAGCGAGGGGAGTGCTCGAAGAAAAGGCAAGGAACGAGAAATCACGTCGACAATGAGGACGACGTGCTGAGGAATGCGAATGATATCGGAGCCGTGTTTGGGGAGGAGAAGACGAACCGCACGGAGGAGATTAGCCCGATGAGAACGGGCGGTATAAAGTTCAACGTAACGGGTCCTAACGGAGAGAACTGTGGGGAAGAACCAAGGACCCCGATGGATAACGGCTACAAAGGGCTCGCCGCGAAGTGCTCGAGGGAAGGCATCATAGATTATTGCCTGTCTACGCAAAAGATCCTGTGAGCAAAGAAGGCATTCCTGTTGAGAAAGATTTGCCAGAAGAAGGGCATCCAGTATACAAGAAAACGAGAGATCATAGATGTGTTGGCTAGGGAGCAAGTGATGCTAGCGTACGAGGGTTTCGAAGAGGCCGAGGCAAACGTGGAAGATAGCGAACAGACGACTGTTAGACAGGGGGAGGGGATCAAGGGATCGGTGAGAGAGGGGAAGGTGCACGTACCGAGATCGTTTGGGAAATCGCCGGTAAGCAGGGTGACACTTAAGTCGGCAACGTCACAAAAACAACAGGAGTCGGATTGACAAACCATGCCCCTTTCGACCAGCGTCCTGTGGGAGACTCTGAACTCCCACTTGACGATGAGGTCGGCCCTATGGGGGCAGGGCAGGGGCAGCGAACTGTTGACAGCGGTCGAGAGGGTGATCGCTACAACTACAGTTTTGTTAACGCTACGTGGGCAGATCCCATGGCTGATGAAGTATATCACACGGTCTGAAGGCATCTTGGATATGTTGGAACTGAAGGGGGCTGGCGTGTATGTTATAGCCAGCCCGTGGTCGAAGAAGACATATGTCGGAAGTACGGTGCGACCTTTGATGCAAAGGTGGAGGGAACATTTGAGTAACGCCAACATCGAGGCGATTAGCAATTCGCCCAGGCTGTATCGGTGGATGAGGCAGGCAGGGATGGGAAGTTTTGTCGTGATTCCCATCAGACACGTTAATGAGACGGATGATCATGCTTTCGAGGCGCATCTCATTCGTGATTTCTCGCCAAGTCTGAACACTTGCAACACGAAGGGTAGAGAAACGGGAACGAAGCGTTGGGTGAGAAAGGGGAGGCGTGAGAGGAGGAGGAGGATGATTGAGAACGAACAACCGAAGGTGAACAATATCGTGAGTTTTAAGATAGACGGCAGGGGGCCGTCACGAGTATCGTTCCTGTCTTGGTTAGAAGAGGAACACAAAGCTGATACGAAGAAGGAGAGGCGGGTTATTTTCCAGAACGGCGAGATCTGGGCTGACGGCTGGAAGAGGGTGAAGAAACTCTTCGGGATGACGAACGTGCGACTGAATAGGAGACTGAAGAAGCTGCATACAACAAAAAGAGAACTTCAAAATGGGGCGGAGGTTACTCTGGTTGGTATTACGAGGACACCTACAACCACTGCGAGAAGGATACAAGAGCTTCGGGAGATACTAAGGAAGCCTTTCAAGGCGACTGAGCTGGTGACGTGGTCTGCTAATCAGTTAGTGGGACTGTACCGAGCAGCGGGCATGTTCGGTGATAAGAAAACGAAGAATGCACTCCGTTTGAAGATCGATCGGGCCATTAGGAAGAAAAGGAAGGTGGGGGTGAGAAATAGGGTGTTGGTGAAAGTGGTTTACGACAAGGATCTGGTGAAGAAGAAGATTAGAGAGACCACCCAAGGAGTGGTCAGCAGATGCGTGAAGGATCCGGCCATAGCTAATCTGGTTAAAAGCAGGATCAGGGTGACATGGTGCCGAAATCGGACCGTGGGGGATGTGATTCACAACCACCGGCGTTGCGCCAGTACGAAGGAGGTGCTCTGCACGTGCAGAGGCTTGGACCTACCCAGGCAGGAGGGACATGTGTTGACATGATTTTCAGATTTGAAGGACGTGCCAGTTTTTGTRAAGAATGCGAAAAATGTGACATGTCACACAGGCATGAGGAATGACGAGCCCGTGGTGAAGGCTATTATGGAAGCCACTGCTCTTCTGAAGAGTAAACCCGAAGACATTAGAGTGTCGGCGGACGGTTTTCTAAATGGGAATAGTGTGGTATGCGATAGCGGTGCATGGGACGATAACGCTGTGGCACGGTGGGCCATGAGATTTTGTGGGATGGTGCTGGCTCCCATTGACCGCAACCAAGGTGATACGGCTGTGGTCTGCCCGGTGTTATACCGACGTGCTTTTGGGAAGACGTTTGCGTGGAATGCAGATTATGACAGTGTTTCTCTTTAGGAGAAAGAGTTACTGTTTCAAGCTAAGAAGGACTACGAGGGGGAAGGCTTACTGAGTGTGGCAAGGTGGAAGGTAGACGGTCGGATTGGGAGGGCGTATGTTATCCCGAAGGACAAAGATGTGACGAGGTGGCGACCTATAGCACCAGCTACGGGAGATCCGGCGGGACAGGCTCAGCGGAGGATTGCGAAGGCTCTGCATTACTTGATGAAGCAGTTCCCAGCAGAGCAGTCCTTTTACTTGAACTCAATTCAGGAAATGCCGAACAAATTGGAGACAGCGACAGAGAAACTCACGAATTCGCAGTGTGTGGAAGTGAAAGGGCGCTGTTACGATATAAAGGATATGTTCACAAGGATGCCGCAGGCGGCGGTACGCAGGGCGGTGTGGCAGCTACTGGTATGGTACACGAACAGGGGATGGAAGCAGGTTAAGGTCTCCAGGAGAGGGAAGCTATGCACTTTGAGCAAGACAGGGAAGGCAACGGACGGCTATGTCGGGATAAGCTTCCGACTTATTTTTGGGATGGTGAACTACGACCTGAACCATGCTTATATTCGGTGCGGCGAGGAGATAAAGCGTCAGGTGTCTGGAATCCCGATGGGGAAATCTACAAGCACCATCCTTGCTACCATCACATGCGCTATGTCTGAGTACTAGTTTCTTTCTGCTTTGGGTGCCGACAGGTGTCTGGTAGCGGGTTGGAGGGTCGTCGACGACATCACAGTGGTCGTCGGGCTGAGGCGTGGGCGAGAAGAGGAAGACAAAGACTGGAGTTTGGAAGTTTTTCAGGCTTTGGAGGCGAGCTATGACAATAATTTACATCTGGTCAGGAAAGATGAAACATGGAACTGGTGGCATTTTCTTGGGGGAACGATGTATCTTCTTGAGGGTCCCTTGCGAATTATGTATGTACCTGAAACCAAGAACCAGGCGTCGCTGAGGGCGGAAGCGGGGATTAAGTACCAGACAATGCAGGACTACAGCTCGTACTCGGACAAAAGGATGAAGAAGATGACGCTAGCAGCTACTCTGAATAGACTGTGGAAGTCTACATCAAGCCAAGCACTGGCGGTCGACTCCATCGCATATGCGATCTAGGAGGCAAACCTCCGGGGCATATCTCTCTGGGTGCCTTGGCCAAATTGGTCAAGGTTGTGGGAGACCCGAGTCTCCGGTGTTTATGGCAGCTACTAAATCTGTACTATGGGAAAAAAAGGGCACGAAAGCAAGGAAATGGGAGCAGGGAAACGGGCGGGGGGAGGGTCGGTAGATAGATAGGTGTTACGATGCGGGGTCTGGATATTTCAGATAGCTGGTAGATATAATACTGGGGGGTGGCCTGCTGAGGCCCGATAGACCACCAGGATAGAGTGCTGGGATGGGAAAAAACGGGGGTACTATCGGGGACAGCAGGGGAACGAAGACGGGGGGACTGGCGGCTGTTGCCTGGCGGGAAGACCAGGTTTCTTGAATTCGTATTTTATGTCTTTAAAAAATTCTTGAAAGCGGACAGCTATTGGACTCGGGGCAGGGGTACCAAGTGGGTGGGACCAGGGTACTTAGGACAGACAGCAAGGCATTCGTTGTTTGAGAGCTACGGAATCTACGATTCCACCTCCTGACGAGTCTGCATGTAGGCGGACGAAATGCGTCGAGGGCGCTACGAAGCTCAGGGAGGAGATGGTGGTGATGACATGGTTATGGCGAGGTCAGAGCAAGGGGAA